TGGATTCATATAGCTAGAAGGGCTTCTGGCCTATGATTGGGATCTTTCTGGATATCTTTTTTCGATTTTGACCCCAGGACCCCTAAAATTTCCCTACTAATCAATCTGATTTTTTTTTTAAAAAAAATTTTTTCTTATTTTTTTTAATTAAAAAAACACAAATTTCAAAAAAAATCAAATTTAATATGTTTACTTAATTATCAATAACTTTATACATTTCAGATTATAGAAAAAAGTTTTGAGTAGTATTTTTTACAAAATGAATTCTCTTACTTTTTTTTATTCAGATAAAATATAGAAATTTTAATTAAATGTAACATATAAAGATACTTTAAGTAAAGTTGTTTAGCAAGTTCAAAATTACTTGAATCTTAATTTTTGTCAAGATAGGTTTGATATTTGTGAAGTTCATAATGCTAATGATACACAAATTCTCTATTTTAACGTTTTGCATTATTTTGATACTTTAATTCAAATAAATCACTTTTGTAGACTAAGTAAATTTATTCAAAAGGTTTGAAAATACTCAAATCTTAATTTTTATCAAGGTAGATTTGATATTTGTGAAGTTCATAATGCTAATGATACACAAATTTATCATTTTAACATTTTGCATTATTTTAGCATTTTAGTTTAAGTAAATTACTTTTTGTAGTCTAAATAAAGTTATTCAAAAGATCTAAAATTACTTAACGCTTAATTTTCATCAAGGTAGACTTGATATTCATAAAGTTTATAATGCTAATAATATATAAATTTACTTTTATACTATTTAATGATTTTTAATCATTTTATTTAAATTTAAATAAAATAAAAAATATATAAAATGCTATTAGTATTATTGCTAAATTTTGACCAACTTAAATGATACTTATTAAAAAAAATTAAATAAAAAATTAAATTAAAATTAAATTTTAAATTTTAAAATATAAAAAATAGATAAATTATTAAAAATTAATAAATATAATATAATTAATAAAATAAGGTTAAAATACAATTTAAAAAATTATTAAAAAAAAATTTAAATTTAAATATTTTTTAATTAATATCCACAATTTTATATATATATATTTTTTAATTATTATTTAAATAAATCTATTAATAAAATTGCATATATTAAAAAAATTAGAAAAAAAAATAAATCTAAAATTCAAAAAAATCAATTATTAAAATAAAATACAAATTAAAATAAAAATTAAAAAAGATAATTAAAAAAAAAATTTACTGCAAAGAAAATTAAATTAGAAAAATTAATTTAATTAATAAATATTAAACTACTTTTTTATCAATTTAATTAAATGTTTTCAAAAATTTAGTTTTATATTTTTATTTATTATCATTATAAATGAAATTTTAAAGTTTAATTGAATTAGTTATGTGATCAATTATTTAATGCTAAATAGGAAGACAAAGTTTTCTACAACTGCAAATTCTAATTTTTATATATAATTTTAAAATATAGTAGTAGTAGAAAAAAATGGCAATCACAATCATGTGATTAAAATAATGATTTATATCATATCTAATTAGATAATATAAACTAATTTTTTGTTTAATTGTTTTCTATATTACACTGATCAATATGCATAAAAGAACTAAATACAAGAGTATTTTATGACTAATGTTCTGCAAAATCAAATTGAATCAGATTTTATCCAAATCTAATCTGATCTGATTTTTATTTTTCAGGATCTGAATCTGATCTAAATCTGACAGATCTGTTAAAATCCAGATCTGATCTGAATCTAATAGATCAAATCTCAAATCTGGATTTGACAGATCAGTTTAAATCCAAATCTGATCTGATCTGAATCTGAAAGTTTTATTGAAAAAATAAATTTTCAGTTCTAAAAGAGTTCTAAAAAGTTATTTCTTTTCATTGAAAAGAACCTTTTCAGCTTTAAAAGAGTTTCAAAAGTCATTCCTTTTCATTGAAAAGAACCTAAAAAAGTTCTATAAAGTCATTCCTTTTCATTGAAGGAAACCTTTTTGACTTTAAAAGAGATCTGAAAATTCGTTCCTTTTCAATGAAAGAAAACAAATTTTCAGCTCTAAAAGAGTTCCAAAAAATCATTTCTTTTTAATGAAAGGAAATAAATTTTCAACTCTAAAAGAGTCTAAAAATTCGTCTTTTTAAATAAAAAGAACTTTTAAGCTCTAAAAGAGATCTGAAAATTCATTTTTTTCAATGAAAGAAACTTTTTAGCTCTAAAATAGGTCTGAAAATTTATTCTTTTTTAATAAAAGGAAACAAATTTTCGGCTCTAAAAGAGTTTCAAAAGTTTCTTTTCAATAAAAGAAAACAAATTTTCAGCTCTAAAAGAGTTCTGAAAATTCATTCTCTTTTAATAAAAGGAACTTTTCAGCTCTAAAAGAGTCTGAAAATTCATTTCTTTTTAATGAAAGAAACTTTTTAGCTCTAAAAAAGATCTGAAAAATTCATTTTTTTTTAATGAAAGGAACCTTTTAGCTCTAAAAGAGGTCCAAAAATTCATTATTTTCAATAAAAAGAATCAAATTTTCAGCTCTAAAAAGGTCTAAAAATTCATTTCTTTTCAATGAAAAGAACTTTTCAGTTTTAAAAGAAGTCTAAAAATTCATTTCTTTTCAATAAAAGAAATAAATTTTCGGATCTAAATGTGTCTGAAAATTTGTTTCCTTTTAATAAAAAGAACTTTTCAGCTCTAAAAGAGTCTGAAAATTCATTTCTTTTCAATGAAAAGAACTTTTTGGCTCTAAAAGAGATCTGAAATTTTGTTCTTTTTCAATGAAAAGAACTTCAATTCTAAAAGAATTCTAAAAATTCGTTTTTTTTCAATAAAAGAAAACAAATTTTCAGCTCTAAAAAAATCTAAAATTTCATTCCTTTTTATTGAAAAGGAATTTTTAGGCTTTAAGAAAGTTGAATTCAGATTTGACAAATCAAATCTGAATCTAATCCAAATCCAACAGATCAGATCTGAATCTGAATCTGAATCTGAATCTGACAGATCAGATCCGATTTGAATCTGAATTCAATTAGATCTGAAGCTGACAGATCCAATCTGAATCTGATCTGTCAGATTCGAATTGGATTCAGATCGATCTGAATTATTGCAGAATAATACTTATGACTAATATGATGTAATAATACTGCAAAAAAATTTATTAAAGAATGATGTGAGGTATTTAAGTCATTGTGAAATAATGAAATACGAAATGTAAACAAATTACATAAAATTATCAAGTTTCTACTAAGGACACTGTAACGGTGATCATTTTAGTTAAAAAAACCAAAAATTTAAAATAACGATGTCATCTAGAACGCCCAAAGGTTTTAAGTTTAAAAAAGCAGTGTCAATTTGGTCAGCTCACTCATTCACGTGCTGGTGCAACAAATTTTAAAATTGCAAACATACTTAATAATACTTATCTAGGTCTTAACATAGCTACTCATACAATTTGTGAGAATCTTTGGAAGCTTAATTACTGAATTTGTGTTTTTAAAAAAACCCATTTCTCACTCTAATTGCAAAAGAGAGATGAGTTTCTTGGGCAGAAGTTCATAAAAATAAAAATTAGGAAAATATGGTTTTTTCTGATGAAATGAACTTTCAAATATTCTGTAACACCACCTTAGTTCGTTATAAGGAAGGTGAAGAAAAACCAACTTGTGGAGTTGTCAAACACCCATTCAAAGTTCATGTTTTAAAGGCTTTTTGTTTGCAAGGAATCGTTGGGTTTCACATGTTTACTGAAAACATGAATGGGGAGTTGTACTGTGAAATTTTAACAAATAATCTTTTTGATCAAGCATATCAGCTTGGAGGGTCCTGGGTATTTCAACAGGACAATGATCTGAAGCACAAAGCCAAGCTTACGGTGTCTCTTCTCAAAAATCGATGTCTCGCGATTCTCAATTGGCCGTCATATTCCCTGGATCTGAATCTAATAGAAAGCTTGTAGGTGATTATCAAAAAAGGGTGGAAAAGAAGGTCAATAAACGAATTAGTGAAAAAAACCAGTTACGCAAAGGATTTTTATGGAAATTATTAAGGGCGAATGGTTCAACATCAATCAAAACCTCTACCTTAATTTGGTCAATAGTATGAAAAGGAGGGTAAATTTGGTAATTGAAAGGAATGGCAATGTATTCAATATTAAAAATTTAATATATAATAAATATGGTATTAGTTTATTTACATTTTAAGTTTCGAACGATTTTAATAAATATTGATCATGTAAATGAATTTTCATTTACTGTTAGTTTTTTCCGCCACTACTGTAGACTTATTGTGATGATTAAACCGTGTGACTGGGCCTATAAGAGTTAAATGTGTTTAGTACACTTTGTTTATCCACCTCTTCTATTGCTTTGGTTAAGAAATTAGATTTATCTTTTTTCCTCTGTCTCATCACAGAGTATGTGTAGGGCTATATACCTATAGTGCCTTTATCACGTCCTCTGCACGCTAGTAAATATCCTCTACACGTTTATTAGCACGATATGATATTTTTAACAAGATATGGCATTGACAGTCCTTTGAGCTTAAAGATATTTTTATTTCAATATGTTAAAATGTATCCTTCTTTGCTAATGATATATGTTAAAAATCTACTTGCAGAATTGAAAATTTAACCTCGCAATAAACCGAAATAATGAAACATATATGGACGCACCAAGAAATTTAATAAGCGTTAAAAAGGAAGAAGAGAATTTATTGCTAAATTTAGTAGGTGAGTAGTTCTTACTGAGTAAATTTTCGAGTCGCTGTGTATCTGAAGTTACTCTTTAAAATAATCTGGGAATTGAAAGCTCTTCGTGGCCACAGTTGAGTGGGGGCATCTTTCTCTAGTGAAATGAAGAAACCTTGAAGGAGTTTCTACGATGAATGTCAACTGATTCAGAATGAAGTTTTGGTTATGTATCTCCTTCGTAAAAATCATAGAAACTTATAAATTCATGGCGTATTTGTTTGCTACTAAGAGTGTTCTTGTTCTTCCCCGTGAACGTTCTTCCCTCCTGTTCCTATGCTTCCACTGGAAGTTTAAACGGTAAATAGGATACACGAATCAACGAATCAAAAGCTCATCGTGGCCACGGTCACAAACGACTGTGAATGATTATGACGTAAATGCTTACATTTTACAGTATTATTTATTCTCCTATCCGAAACTTCATGTTTTATATACAGTATACAAGAAAATGTAGATCTTTCATCTCAACGTTTAGTGACAAATGCAAGAACATGCTAAAAAAAAAGAACTATGCAAAAAAGGACCGGACTAGGCGTCTTGGAAATTCTATATGTTACAATCTTCATTCACTTTGGTTGAAAGTCGCATTGCATGAAAAAAGGCCTCTCATTTTAATGGCAAACAGAGAGGATCGGCTTACTAGTAAAAAATGATTTGGCAAATGTATTAATAGCAGGATTTGGGGAGCTTTCGTGCACCTCAGCCACGGTGAAACACAGTCCAGCCGCATGCCGAGTCATTGTAATACAACCAGAAGCTGCAGTAAGAAAACGACGAAAATTTGTATGAATCCTTTTAGTAATTACCGATGATTTTAAATTTTTGTACTAAATAGTAATCAAATATTATCGTAAGTAATAAAAGATGAGTATTAGATAAAAAGAAAAGTATAAAATCTTTATGAATATTCTCACATAGGTGGCAACAATTAAAAATCTTTAACAGTTGGGACGACTTTATTAAATATTCAAACTGCAAAACGAATAAATTTTTAGTATATATTCTGTAAAGTTAAACTTTACATTTTTTTTAGATGAGCACGTAATCCATTTCAACCTCAAATTAATGTTATTGTAAACCTAAACAATCCCAGGTCCCCTACCCTAAATTTCCTCGACTCTCACAACGTCGAATAGCCAGACATAATGGCCCTCCAGATCCAGGAGTTGCAAGGGTCAAACCTCACGATGAACGTTTTTGCGGGACACACAATAATAAGGATTGAAACCCAAAATGAACTTCTATGACGATTTGTTTTGGAAGTTTTATATTTTTATAATATTTTTGGTTTTGATCGTAGTAATATTGTTAAATAAAAACAGTTTATGTTTAAAGATTATTTTGCTAAAGTTGCAAATTACTTTTCTGTTTTAATTAGTTTCGGACCAATATCAAACCCATGAAACCAACTAACTTTTAATTTAATTATTTTTTATTTTTATTTTTAATAAAATACGTTTATATAATTTTAAACATGTTTTTTTATCAAATATTTATATCACTTTATGAATAAATTTTTTTTATTCGATCGAAATAATTAAAATCTCAAAAAATTATTCATTCGTTAATTATACTTTCGGTAAAAATCTGAAATGACATTGAAAAAGCTTGATTAATTCGTTAAAAAATGTTCAATGTAACTTTCCTTTCTCGGATTTTAAAGTCAATTTCATAATGCTATCATTCTTTGCAATCAAAAAAAAAAAATGTTTAAAATATAGAAAACACGTGAAAAAAATAAAAAATAAAAAAAAAGGTATATTATTAAATCTTTACATCCATCATACATCACAACCACAATTACAATCTCGTCAATCAAATATATTATAATTTTTGTATCGAAGGAAGTGGAATAAATTCTTAGTTATTTAATCAATATTTTGGGGGGGGGGGGGAGGCTCATTACTAACTATGGATGGAATATAATTGATTCACAATAATAATTCCAAATTCCAAATTGTTGTTTGCTTTTGAACATTAATTTCCTTTAACGAATTTTTTTGTGGCACAGAGAATTAAATGCCGATCACAATGGAATTTTTTGTGGCTCATTTCAACCAATCATTTTCTTTGAAAAAATTTTCCCACGTATATAATATATATCGCAGATTTTCAAACTAAAAACATTTTAATCTTTTCTTCAACATAGGTGAAGCACGAAATTGTTATTTTGCAATAACTTATTGACAGCGACAATGCCGACACTAATCAAAAGGTAGTCTAGGACTACGCTCTCTTCCTTTTGTTTTGTTTTATAATTTCCTTTTTCTTTTTTTCATTACAAAAAAAAAAAAAAAAAAAAAAAAAAAAAACCACAAATAACCTTAGTTAAAGTGATACATCTGCTGGCCAGTGAATTCACTCCCTGAACTAAGGATAGAAAGAAGTATCCTCTCGTTTCGTACTATTGGCAAAGCAAGTAGAAAATATGGGTTCGCTTGTCCTATGTCCAATTTGCGTCGAAGTGCTTCTGCTAGTTTAGTTTTAAATAGTTTATCTTTTGTTTCTTATTTTATATGTATTTACATAAATTCTATATGAATTTATCTAATGATATTAGGTAAAGCTTAACGAAAGTCGTACGCTTAGGCTTCTTTAGGACTACGTCCTTGCTGACAATTTAGACTACAATAACGCTAACTCTTACCAAGAGGTAATGGATGTTTTTATATAACGCCTTCGTTATGATGATTAATTTTACTAACTACATTGGTTGTACTCCTTTTCTTTATTCTTTTTTTTATAATTTCCTTTTTCTTTTCTTCAATATATATCTGTTGGTCAGAAAAGTCAATCCCTGAACTTAAAAGCAAGTGGGTGTGCTTGTTCTATGTTCAATTTGCATCAAAGTGCTTCTGTTGTTTAGCTTTAGACAGTTTTCTTTTGTTTCTTCTTCAATATGTATTTATTGTTATCCAATAAAATTAATGGCCTAAGCTACTTTTCCTTTGATTTCCTGACTTTACTATTGAATTAAAAATTTTTCAAGATAATATTTACTTTTAATGCTAAAGAAGGGTTTATATGTCAGTTTTTTATTCTTTACAATTTTGCAATAAATTAATTAAGAAATATTAAAGTTTACATACGGAAACTATATTTAGTTATTGTAGAAAATTTGGAATTCACGTTAAACTGTTTGAAACTTCATTTTTGCCCATGTTTGATATTTTTCTAGTATTGTTAGTGTAGTATTTGCAACTACTTAAAGGTATGGAAAAACTGATATTCATTGATGAAGTTCAATGTGGTGCATACAAATTGATATCGATAGGGAAATATGTCTTTTTTTTGCACTGGAATAAAATACTGATATTTCTTAAATCATGGATTTTTTTTACATTATATTTATTTAATCCTCCTAAATTTAAAAGAAGTTTAACAAAGTTTAACTGAACTACAGTACATTCCTATAAGACAGTATACATATGCTATAATTAAAAAATTTTTATTATTGTTGTAAATCTTTATTAATTTTAGATAACATAATCAGTAACTTCGCAAATATACCAATTGTTTCGGAAAAAATTGCTAATGCGTCTCCTGCACGGTTTTTTTTAATTCAATGTTACCCACATCAATACTACAATATTAAATTTTAAAAAGTAGTGAAATAAAATAAACGCACGCAGTTTACTTTGTATTGATAATGCTGCAGCTGATTTTCCAAATGATGGAACCTTTTGACAAAGGTTCTAAACACTTTTGATAAATCTAAAATTGATATTTTTTAACTTAATATACACCCGTAAGTAATTTCTATTCTTTTCACTCAACCGGCTGTCTGATCTTCAAAAAAAAATTCAGCTAGTAAACTTTATTTGATAACTTACTTTCACAGTCGGAACTTGCATTCTTAAGTGCAGTTCTCTTCAAAACAATCCCCATAAAAAGGAAAAATTGAGTTAAGCTTTCTATAACAATATCAAAGAAAGATTATATTAATTAACTACTCTGAAAATTGACGCGCAACTTCTATTGTGCCACTGAGGATTTCTTTTAGGTGCATATGCTTTTTCTGAAGGTGGGAAATTTTTACAACAAAAAGTTTTACTCTATCCTCGGCCTTTTCATAACATTCTATGCCTTTTCCCTTTTTTATATCATCAAGCCCTTCAAAGAAAGTGTTCGTAACCGTTCCATCAATGACTTTCATCATTGTTCCCAATCCTTCAAAAGCTTAATTTCGGGCAGGTTCAAAACTGTCATTAGAAGCCTTCATCATTATTTCAGTTAAAGATTTGATTTCAGCCTTTTGTGGTACAAATTTAGTACTTTTTATACATCTGACAAGCCAATACATCTGTTTAACTTATGGTTCTTGCGTTTTCAAGCTGACAATGTTTCCTAATATTGTAATCTAAAATTATTAATTAGTTTAATAATTGTAAAATTTATATTGATAATATTTACACTTAAAAATACGGCATCCAGTACCGAAGCCAATACTAAACTTTATTTCCTTTCTTTAAGTCTTTTTATATACGACCTATATAAAGATAATAAAGGAATCAATATAAACAATCAATTGAACGTGATAAATTAAAACCCAAGGCAACGCCAACAACAATGTAAATACTAGTACATTGGAATCTGACATACGTTATAATTTTTAAAAGAAACATATAAGTAAACTTTTTCGTTACATGATCTCAAATTTTTGTAAAATAAACTCACACCTTTGCAAGTACAGCAGATAAAATCAGAATAATAGTTATTCACAATCCTCGAGTTCTTTAAGATTTCTAACAAACCCTCTAGAATTTCTTTTTTTTTCTTCCATTTGGTTGAACCTAAGAGGATATATAATGTTAAACTAAGAATATTTTAAAATTAATATTGCAATAATATATGTTACCAATAATTATAGAATTCTTTGTAATATGCATCGAACTTTTTCTCTTCTGCTTCGACTTTATCACATTTGTATATATTTCAAAATAAATCTAACCAAATGCTTCATAATAATACAGAACAATACCTTTACCAGCTTCCGTCGCTTCTTTGTCAGCTATTTATACATAATAATCGCACCTGTTGAGATTTTCCTTGTGGTAATTTTTCAAATGCATCATTCAATTCTTTAATCTAGAATGAAATCTTCAATTGAAATATCTATCGCATTAAATAAAAGCGATACAAACGTTTTACTTGTAAAAAACATGCAGTACCTAATTATTTCCTAAAATGCATAAACAACTTTGGCAACAATTTATGTTGTTTGGTATCCAATCCGGCAAGAACATCTTCCTAAAAATAATAAATTTTTTTTTTTTAATTAACACACACACAACTATGGGATCTACGGTATATAAAAGTATGAGTTCTATTGCTTTAGATTTTGTTCCATAACTAATTGAGCTGAAACTTAGCAATTTTGAAGAGAATGGCCTAAAGTATAAGTTGAAAGGTGCCAGTTTATAAACTGTTCATTTCTATTTTAACGCGTTAAAAAAGTTGGATGAGAAAGAAAAAGTTAAACTTACCTTAATGGACTTTGTGCATTATCAACTAGAGTCTTTCGCAATGTTTTTCAAAGTAGCTTTCACCTTTCTGATTTTTAAAAATACAGTAGTTTGTAAGTTCTCCATAAGGTTCAATCCGAAATTTCAATCTAAAAAAACAAAATATGAAAATATTATATCATTAAGATTAAAAATGAACAAGTATTTGGAGAATAAAACCTTATATTACACGTTCATTAAGAGGTATTGACTAATCGTCCTCAGGTGCACAACAGACGCAGATTTAAGAAGTATATATACAATATATAAAAGCAATGTGGGAAACCTTTGTATAAAGATATAATTATGAAAATGACGAGCAATGTAAAAGAAAAGAGAATAAGGGCGAGATAAGTACAGTAAATTAGAACACAAAGGTTTTTCGATAAAACATAAATATAATAGAGTAAATTTATTCATCGCGGGGGGCGATACTCCTTATACATCGCCTTTATATATATACCTTACCCTAACCCTAACCCTAACTCTAAACCATGTGATACTAACATATGTGACAAATAGGGTTTCACACATGAAAAAATTCTTCTGTCCCCAGAATATATATGAAAAATGAAAAGGGTGGGTGTGACACGGTGACAAAAAGGAGGCGATGATATCGCGCCTGCGATGAATAAATTTACTCTACAAACAATATGGGTAGATTGCTAGGAAAATCAGGTTCCGGGAATTTTTTAGCAAAATTGAGATTTTTATTGCATTTTAGTTTTTGATGTAATTAGATTAAAATGTATTAAGCTCTTAATTTTAGTCAAAAATTTCTCGGAACCTGATTTTCCTAGAAACACTCCCATATAGTAAAATAATGTGTATCTTTAATTGATTTTTAAAAAATTTCCAGGTTTGCTTACTACTAAGTAATAGGATTAATAGGATCGGGATCGATTCAAAAATGTTGAATCGATTTTAATCGCTAAAAAAAAAAAAAACAGATTATTTGCCAAGATTTTTTTTTTTTTTTAATTTATTCATTCTTATATTTTCGGTCTTTTTTAATTAGTTTTTATTTTAATCATTCCGTTTTTCTTTTTTTCGTCTCAAATTGGGTTGTATTAATTAAATAAATAGGAAAGTGTTTTTTCATTGCAAAAAAAAAAATTCATTCGGTCAAACGAATTACTATTGAAATCGAGCTTACGAATATAATAAATCATATGATCCTAACGTGATTTAATAGCAAACCCCAAAAATCCTCAGATACATATTATTTGTCACATAATATCACACCCTCAAGTTTCCGTTTTTATTATTTATTCAGGGTTTTGAGTAGCGAAATCTTATTTGTCACACATATCTATGTGTGCTTCCGAAATGATCGAATAGATTTATTTATCAGCAATGGAGACAAGTAGTGTATAAAATATTCGAAAAGCAACCCACCACGCGTGAAATATCAAAGTCACATAAACACAAAACAAAGACATCGATCATAAAGAATGTTACGAAAGATAAAGCAGATTTTTATTAGAGGAAAAATTTTGGAAATTATATAATACATCAAAATGATAAAAATAAAAATACAAAAATAAAAAATATCTCTTTCTTTTAAATCGACCAGCGACTATAGATGATCACTATCGGTTATGATTATGCCTGCTTTTTCGGCCGCTTTAACCGCGTCACTGGTAAATGAATCCTTTGTTAACCCACCACCACGCCGATCGTCTGCCAAGGCTCACTTGCCAACGCCCCTATCATCTCTCGGATCACGGCAGGCCCTGAGATATTTAGATATTTATTAAATGATATTTCATTTAGATATAATTAATTTTCATTAAATTCCATTAAATACCTATTTTATTTTTCCTCCAGGCTTTGCATTGCCCTACAAAGTTTTCGCCATGTATGCGCCCGCGCATGTCAATCCCCTTATCACCTCTGCCACTGTGAAAATTATAAATAAAAAAATGAGTAATTGCGTCAACATCATCAAAAATCAAGAAGAACGTTCACAGTCATTTTTTTTGTGGCCACGAAGAAAGAGCCTTATATCCTATTCACTACAATGCATTACCGAATTTGGGATTTCGGAAACTGGGAAGAATCGTTCACTAAACAACAGACATTTTGCACCTAGTAGCATCGTATCTTTCGGATATACAATATGACTCAACAAATTAATACAGTGAAATACTCACCCTGTCCTTTCCACCTGCACATTTTTAACCTTTAAGATATCTACATATTTTTGTTCGAACTCTCTTCCGATAGCAACTGAAGATGTCATTTTTAATTATTTTGTAAATTTAATAAGACGTGTAAAAAGTGAAGTTCGAGTGTTGCTGTAGAAAGGGAGGAAACTACCAAAAAAAAATTTTTTTGAGTTAAAAATTTTTTTTTTTTGGTAGTTTCCTCCCTTTCTACTGCAAAACGCCATATATAGTTTTATAGGTAATACAAGTATAATTTTCCATGTTGGGTAGTATATCTCGTGCTATGATGTCAACCTGCCCTAAACTAACAATTCAGTATGACAAACAATACTACTCAACTTCTTAACACGTGATATACTCTCCCAACATAATTTATATAGGATTTTATCATTTTATCAATAAAAATTTCGTGATATAGAAACGTAAAAATAAATATTTATGTAATTTTTGCAAAGTTCCCAACAACTAGAGCATATGCGATGTACAAAATAAATCTCTATAAAATTATTTTATAATATAAATTAAACTTCATTATATTTTGAAAAAAGTTTAGTTATAGTAACATAACCATAACATATGAAAGAAATCATAATATTTAGTACAATAATAAGTTGTACTATATAGTTACACCACATACTTGTTTAGCACCAAACTCCACTCTAAAATTCTGCGTGTCAGCATCACGGGATATCATTTCGAAATTTTATTGGACAATGTACTTCACTTGAATTTCAGATAAAAATATATTAAACAATTTTGAAAATCGTCAAAAATGATGATAACAAAATTATTTTTGAAATCATTTATAGTAAATAAAAAAGATGTATACAGACGATAATAAATATAAAGTAATATATTTATTATTAAAGGAAGAATCATTTTGTTTCTTAATCAAGGTATGGATTGAGAACCAGCTTCGAATATTATTTTTTCCATTGTATTTAAAGGTAATGTTCTAGGTATTTAACGAATCTTGTATATTTATTATAATAAAGTGTTTAAATTTGACCTTGTATACACCTCCTGAACGTTATCACCGATTGAATGGTTTCGTTCAAAAAAAAAAATGTATTGTTTCCGCGTAGTTCTTTATTTTATTATTTAAGATGAGGTAACAGAGAATTTATAATTTGATAATAATATTTATTAATGGAGGGCGAAATAGGAGAAATACTAATCTAATCGACGAAAATAAAGCCCTGTTTCAACGACGGCGCTCTGTAACGATCAGGTACGTATACATTTATTATTAAGGTTCCGTATCGTCAATATAAATTTGAAAGGGAAACCTAAACTAAATTCTATATTGAATTTTATTATTAACCTGACCTTACTTTCATGTGAAACCGACCATTTTATATTTAAAATTCACAAGGACATCAAATTTCTAAAACTAAAAGTCCTAAAATGCAATGTCTCAATTTAATAAAATAATTCTTATTGTCGTAAATATTATTAGTTGGTTAAAAGGTTTGATTTAGGTTATCTATATTTATATTTTCTTAATCAGTTAGGTATTTGATCATTAATATTTAATTGTAGTAAGAACATATTCTTTTTACCCGATTGTTGCTGAATAATGACAATAGGATCATTCAAATTAGTATTTTGACTGATTGAATTGAAAGGGAAGTGGCGAGGTCATCGCCCTTTGAACTTCTTATGCAATGCACCAATTGATTTGTTGTGTAATGATATTTCTCTGGTTCTACTTGATTATTATAACTCGATTAATAAATATTTTCTGAAAAGGGGATAAACTTGATCATTTAAAGGAGAAATCGCATTAACTGACGGGTAACATAAGGTTTTATTGATACATGATGTTATCCTGTATAGGAATTGTTTGTGAACTTCATACTTTATATCCTCAGATATATATACAACATATCAAAGCAATAGCAAAAATAACCATAATACTCATAAAGTGATCAAAGTCAAATCCTTTTTATCCTTTTTATCCTCTAATGTAATAAATAATTTCTTTCTATGATAACAAGTATCGAATACCGCACTAGATCACTTCTTCTCCAAGACCAATGGGATTAATTTCAAATGTTTTGGAAGTCTTCTTTATATTATATTAAAATTTTGAACAATAAGACCCTAAACGTGAAAAAGTTAATCAGGTGTATGAATTTTTTGGCGGGAATTCCGTAATAATATAGGGAATTCGTGGTGCTACCAGTTGTTGGAGCCGCTGAGTCGACTCTGCAAAAACTAAGCAAAGTCAGCTCCGGAATTTTAAATGACCGAGAACAAAGTCGCTGTTCCAAATTTAATCTAATAACAGAACTTCGCGAAATTCTCAATTAATTAAAATGTTTCAAATTTTTTTCCGAATGGGATTCTAACAACTTTAATTCTGTCGAAAACTTAAATTATATATTGTACTCTTTGCAACATTAATTAAATTTTTAAAGAAAATTTTAAAATATGTTAGAGTCGCGACCCAGTGACGGCTGAATCTACTGAAAAGGTTTCCACGCTCTAATGAGAGATACTTATTAAAGGGAAGAAAACTTGAATTTTGGAATATTGAATAAAAAAAAATTATAGATTCAATCGGCATAACGATTTCAAAGGCGGTTTCGCTTTATGCATACTCCAGAAAGTGTAATACTTTCTATCAGTTAATGAAAAAAAACAAAGAGATTAATTGCTCCTATTGTACTGAAAATCATAATTGTTTGTTATAAAACAAGTTATGAATAGTTAATCACATGATCCGCGTGATTTTAATAACGCCAAAAAAAAAATATTTTGATTTCTTCAACCGCAGGTAATTCTAATACATTAAAATAAGAATGAGAAATGAGTTTGTTATTTTATTTTACATGTAATGATCGCGTAATACTATAAAAAGATTTCATAAAAAAATTTTTCAATTTTATACGTGCGGGTTACGAGAATTTAAAAATCTATTTACCCTGATTAGTGTTGGAATTATGATTCATTCAATCCTCGGAAATACTTGGTATTTCCTTAGCGTTAGTATCATGTTTAGTGTCATTTTATTGTTTTTTTTTTTATTTTTTTTTTTTGATCCTCAAATCTAATGTTATTATACGGTGAATTACGTCCTAGTTTTATTATAGCCTTATATACTGCGTCACCAAAAAAAAGATTCGACTTTTGATTAATTCAATCGTTTCAATCCTTACACCCATATGTCACTTGCAACTACAATGCCACTAAGTTTAAAATATCGCGGAAATTGAATGCATTTCGTGGCCAAGGTTCCGACTGTGCACGTTCTTCCATGCTTCCGATGGTCTTATGCGACGGACGCTAAGATTTTTGGTGAATAGGATGCACGAATTAATGTATCGACTTAATTCTTAATGACGATGACGTAAGTACTCATTTTTTTGTATATTAATATTTTTTTAGTCGTCCTTACGATGAATAAATGTATTTTCGATAAAGACTCAGGTCGTAACTTCGTTGACGAGCTAATAATGGTAGTGGACTCCTTTCAAAAAGGATTAGTGACAGGGTGAGTAAGTATCTCACTGGGTTATTTGTCGAGTCGTTGTGCATCTAAGCTACGCTGCCACTAGATGTGTAATATCGGAGAATTGAAAGCTCTTCGTGGCCACAGTCGCAAACGACTCTGAACAACGTTCTTAATTCTCGTTGATAGAGGCGCAAGTCACTCATTATTATTTTTTAGTAGCCCCGTAGATGGTGGGATTGATATGCAAGGTATGAATTTGCCATCCAATGTAAAAGTTGGGCAAAAATTAAGTATCGTATCGAAAGTACATGTATTATCGATAAAAATGAAACGAAATTAATCGATCTTGAACGCATTTAGCTCTTAACGTCGTGGAAGAGCTAAGTAACGATCATTTCCACTCGACAAAAAGAAAAGGATCGATTTAAATTTAAAAAAATGTTTTTGTTATTTTTTTTATTCTTAATTATGTAAATCTATTTTATTTTCTTACTTCAATTGCTTATTATTTTCATTTATTGTATTTTTATTTTGTATTGTATATTTTATCTTCATTTCAACTGGTCCAATTCCGAATAAATATTTTATTCCTATCGATTTGCTTTAAGCTGTGATCTTTTATGGTCTTGATTTCGTTACTTATCGTTAGAGTTTAATTCAGTGATAGGATTAAAAATTAAAACATTTACTCGAAAATCATTATTATTTGGTCACAAAAATTTTAAATTTGATGTACTTTTTTTACCCAAATTTTTTTTTTTTTCTTAACAAAGAATTTAATTATGAACAATAATATAATCCGTACACGACCGGTTTTGACTGATAAATCTGATATTTATTTTTTTAACTTGGTCATCTCCGTTCATAATACAATCGACTGCGCTACATTATTTTTTGTTTTTGACGTCAGTCAATAATTATAGTTTTATTTTACAATATATATATTTTTTTAAAAGAAATTGATATTCTATCAAATGATAACAATTAATTCAAATGGAAAAAGAAAAAAAAATTACAATTATTACATGATAGCTAAAATTTTAATTTAGAAATCTTGTATTCTATTTTATACTCTGTTGATTTATGAACTTTTACAATTTTTTTTTTCTGTTCCAATCCATTACCATTTCCATTATTTGTTTTCTGCAGCAATTTGATACTGATTAAAGACCTTTTGTAAATTCGTGTTCCTTCTTTGTTGAACAGAACAAAAAATAACTAGTGTATAACAAATCGGCTTCATAACATCGCAAAATCAATTTAGTTATTTTACCAAATGCGATATATTTCCTCCCCTATATAAAAAATAAATACAACTATCACGTGATTCTAAAATTCGTAATTGAAGACAATAAAATGTTACATTTGTAAATAGAAACCATCTTGATAACTCACCTTCTTAAATTGCATTATATCGTACCCTCATGGTGACTGGAGTAAACTTCGTTTCAAACTTTCGAGACTGAACCGCCTCTTTTGGTAATTCTGGTAGTGCTAACTTTAAATTATAATTAAATTGTACTGGACGCCTGTTCAATAAAGATCTGATACGCATCCCATCCACGCAAACTGTTTCGCGTAGGTACGTGATTAAGCGCAATACATTTTCCACTTTTGCCTCCACATTATTTTCTTAAAAATTGAATGAGATTATCTCATCTTCATAAGTATAGACGAGACTCAATTTTTCTTGATTGTAAATTGGCTGTATTCTCCCCAAATGAACTTTCATATCACTCACCAGGCCAAAATGCAAACTAGTTTCATTTACTTCCATTTCCGTTGGATAATGCATCTGAGAAAGTATACGATTAAATTCGTATGCTAACTCTGCTACAACAACTACTTCATCCTTGTGAATTTCAAAGCCAGCTTGTTCGAATTCCACAATGAAAAATGCGAATTGTAAATCATTATTATTTATAATTATTGAGGCGAAATCTGATCTTGCTGAGCCTTGTCCAGCATGACCCGGAATTAGATGCTGTAACTCCCAAGTAGGAAGGAATTGTAAATGATGAAGCTTGAACGCTGTTGAAAAATTCCGAACCACAGTTCAGATTTAACGTGATTTTCGGACGGATTGCTACCAAGACCGCGCGATGGTGTACATAGCTTTGTATGAAATAACTGCTGTAATTACGGATGATGCAGTTAAAACGTCTATATAATAAGGAGGATTTTTTGGATGATTCCAAAATATCCGACGGAAAACTGTAACTATAATATTGCGATCATTGGTGTAAATTCGACCTTTCTTCTTAAGCGATTGCAATATTCCAGATATTGATCGAAGCTCATCATCAGGTTGCTCTTCAAAAAGTACAGACAAAATTTTGAGCGCAACTTGTGGTATTGAAACGTTGATCATTTTTTGTCTACCACCAACAAAAATTTCCAAGCTGACTACGGACCACTTTAACATATCGAAAAGGTGACGGCTCGTTGTGAATCTTCATCGTTGTGGTGTGACTGCAAGTCTGTAAGTATCTTGCAATAATGATCTATTTGTTCTGAGTGATTGATAGTCACATTACACTCTTGGATAACGCATTTCCTTTTTCGCTTGTGAAAATTTGCGGACCTTGGCTCATCCAACTCATCACCCTCAGCTTCAATTACAATATCTTCTTCATTTGCTGCTTCATCCTCAGCTTCAATCCCAAAATCTTCACACGATTTATTTGACGTACTTGCTTCACTCATTTGCAACTTTTTAGGTAGATAAAAAGAAAAAAAAAGAATCAGTATAATTCTGTGTCAGCTGAAACGCACATACCAACAGTCAAAGTCTGGGGAGACTGGGCATGGCTCCGCAAGGCACCATGCCACCAATAGCACTGAGGCTAATTGAGATGGTAACTGCTTCGTGATTATGACAAGATTTGGCTCGCCAGCGACGAATGGCACACGCGAAAACCCCAGTTGTGGATGCACCCCATCTCAGTCCAAGTTTCTGTCCGCTAGCAAGTCGGGACACCTGGGTTCTGCCTCATAATCACTAACAGAGTGCTTTCGATTCTTCAGACAAATTTCGTAGAATCTATAGAAGAACGTTTGCAGTAGGCCGCTTTCCGTACGCCAGGTCTGGTTACCTGACTAAAAGCTTTCGCAAACTGTAGCCACGAAGTGCTTCCAGTTCTATAGTCTACTATTCTGCACAAAAGAGCACTAACCTTATTCAATTTGTCTCTAAATGATTTCAATTTCAAATATTTGTTATCGTTCTTGTTATAGGTTTTAGAAAGAGCATCTATATCCTTTGCTAAAGCTTGGTGACGTTCCTCAATGGTCGCATTTGGATAAGATGTGTAGTAATATTGTTCATATGTTGAAATTTTTCCCCAATAAGTGTACCTTCTTGACCAATATTCTGAATAACGAAACAATTATAAATATACCGGGGGGACAAAAGTATTGCACGGTTTTATTTTTTCAATAATTTTTTATTTTTTACAGAAACATACAATTTTTTTTTTTATTTTTCGAAAACTGACATTAATATTTAGTATGTCCTCCATTGGCGTCGATCACAGCCTGAATTCTATTTGGCATTGATCGCACCAAGTTTCGGTACTCTTTTTGCGATATCGCATCCCACGCTTCTTTTACCGCCTTTTCAAGCTCAGGAATGCTTGAAGGTTGAGGATTGCATTTTCGAATTTCTACCTCAACTATAGACCACATATTCTCAATTGGGTTAAGATCAGGACTTTGAGCAGGCCATGGAAGTAAATCTACCTTTTGAGAAAGCAAAAACTCTCGTGCAACCTTCGAAGTGTGAACTGGCGCATTGTCTTCCTGAAAAATAAATTTTTTTTTTGTTTTTCGGGAAAATTCCTTGAGCGTTGGAACTGCATAAGTGGCAAGAACACCTTTGTAAACTTCTCCAGTAACTGAACCTTTAAGTGGTATAATGGGTCCCAACTTTAAAAAGGAAAAACATGCCCAAAACATCCTTTGAGGAGAATGTTTTACAGTCGATGCAATACAATCTTCATGAAATTCCTCTCCTGGTTCTCGCCACACTCGTCCCCATCCAGATTTGTGAAATTGAGAAAAAGTGGACTCGTCTGTCCAGACTATTTTTTTCCAGTCTTCAATGGTCCAATCTTTTCTTTCCATTGCCCATGCAAACCTTTTAGTCTTGTTAATTGCTGAAATTAAAGGTTTCTTTCAAGAAATACAAGAAGACACATTTTCCTTATGAAATGCATGACAAATAGTTCTTTTGAAGATTGGTTTATTGTTTTTAGCAGAAATTATTTTAGTAATATCTGCTAAATTTTTCCGTCTTAATTCTTTGCTTTTGAGAACTTCAGCTTTTAATCTTTGCCTTTCATGGTCAACCTGATCATTTTTTGAAAGGTTCTTCTGATTTATAAGCTGCAAGATATCTTAAAACAGTTGTTCAATGACATCCTACAGCTTTTGCAATCTCTGAATTTATATGATCCAATTTATTGGCTGTTATTATGCCTCCCTTTTGCATAAGAGTTAATTCTTTAGCGAGGCCCATCACGTGTTTATACGCAAAGGTGAAAATTTTGGTTTTTTTAAAAAGTGAATTTATTAATTGCTACACATTTAATCAAAACAATAAACAAATATCCCTTTAAAGCAACTGCTAACCTATTCGGTATAAAAATCACATGGCTAGTAATTTATAAAAAATTTATTTAAATTTTTATTTTAAGCCATGCAATATTTTTGTCTTCCGGTATCTTGAAAATACAACTTCGCTAATTCAGAATCATAAAGAAGCTGATTTCCATTTTCGTAGTATCATAAACTATGTAATTCATAATTCCCATGTTTTCCATCACAAACAGGGCATGATAAGCTTCACAACTGTGATGTAAAATCATAATTATCAATCCCTCTGAAACTATTTCTGAATTTCAAGTATAGGAAATGCTTTAAGATGGATTTGATAATTAATTCTGGATTGGATCTGGCTTCAAAAGTGATGGGCTCTTTTTCTTCACATTGCTCAGGAGAAGATAAATATGATACTTTGTTTTCTGACATCAAATTTATGACTTCTGATGCATGTACTTCTGATAATTGCCATGGTTCATATCTAGTTTCTTTTTTATATTTTTTGTATAAGCTGAAACGAATCTTGTTCGTCAAAATGCTTGGTAACCCACTTAATTTGGCATGCTAATCCAGATATTCAGAGGTTAGTATTTTATCAGTCTTGGATATATCTTAATTTTATATGATTGTGAGTCAATTTAAATCCCTTTTTTCTCATATAGACCTATTCATTCGAAAAAAAAGATTAAGATTCCCAAATAGATTATTACCCTAAAGAGTTATCCAGACTATTGTAAAGTAATAAGATTACATAACTATCTCAATTTCATGCTATTCACATTTAATAAAATAAGATTCAGCTTTATATATACCTTCTATGCTTTTCTCATCACTATGCTCTAATTTGCATAATGAACATAATTTCTCATCGGTAATACTATAATAATCAAAATTTTCACTACTAAATTCTCTATATAAATTTGAATATTGATCCAATATCTTGTTGCAAAAATAGGATCAGTCATAAGTTAGCTTAGATTGACTGAAGGAAGATACAAATAATACATTTGCTGATATAATTACCTCAGCCTTAATCTGATCATTTTCTGAAGAAACAGTTTTTATTAAAGTCATATAACTCTGATGATCACTAGTATATTTTTTTACTTGATCTATGATATTTTGGATTTGTGCATTAGTCAGTTTCGAAATCTCAGTTATGCTATATGAGACTAGCTTAATTTTATCTAGTCCAATCCTATTTTTTTCAAATAACATAAGATGTTTTCTAGCTCTATAAGTTTTCTTGCGCAAGTTAGCTTATGTGATTTTAGTAGAAAGAAATAGTTTTATTTTCTTATAAATCATTGATCTTGCCGTTTTATTCTTAATTCTACTATCAGCCATAAGAACATCAATTTTACTCTCAAACTCAAAGGAATAATTGTACCAGTCTAATATTTCCTACTGACTGGATTTATTGCTGTTTCAAATAAATAAGATAAGTGCTGGCAGAACCCAAAATCAAATTCTTTAAACTAACGTAAGAGCTGATGATTTTGTTCTACGATTTGATTTTCATTAAGCAATAATGTCATCATCTTGCTTCACAGATACTTCAGTTTTTGAAGTCATATAACTTTGATCGTTCCTTGAGGGAACAGTTTTTATATTGCGAGAAATAAATGAGTCTTGAACAATCGATTCATGATAAAGTTTCTCCTCCTACTTTCTCTATAATATCATCACTAATCTTTTTCTTAAACACTTCATCCAAGAAATCATCTGTTTCCTTATCTTCTTATAACTCAATATTAGCATTATATTAAGTGCATCACCAGAGGTAACTGCTCATTTTACTTCATTATTTAGCTAGTCTACTAAAGAATTGGATATCTAAATATTGTCAAAGGTGCTTCGTTAGTATTTGAATTCATTGTGTTAGTGTTCGAATCTATAGTATTATTGTTCTGCCCATTTTCTGAAACCATTTCCTTAGAAATATTATCTGATTGAAGGAAGGTTAGCTCTTTGTTTTCTTCGTTATTATTTCTTAGTTTTATTATTTCAGTCTTAATCTCAATAATTTCAACATCACGCCTAACATTCTCAGCTGAAGAATCTGTCTTGTTTTTCTTCAACTCCTCAATTCTGATCTTGAGCTCAGCGTTCTCAGCATCACGCTTCATGTTCTCTTTCATATCCTATTTTAGAAGTTTAGCAATCTTGGTCTTAAGTTCAATTCTCTCAGTCTCAATCTCAGCAAACTTTCTTCTAAATTCAGAGATCTCAGTATTTTTATCTTTAAGTTCATCATTTTCGACTTTAATCTCAACAAACCTTTTCCTAAGTTCACCAATCTCAGCTAAGAGTTTGGCATTTAATTTCCTTAATGAATCATTAGATTGAGTATTTGATATTGATAAATTTTATATAAGAACAAAAATATTCAAAAGTTCATTAGTATATATAGAAACAATCAAGTAAAATATATAGATTATTTCAATTGATCGTTCTTCAAAAGAATAGTTTTTGCCAAGAAAATATTTTTTATTATTACATGCGAAAAATAATATAAAGAATACAAAGTTTGGGATATTGCTCGTGATATATGACTAAATTCTATCTTATGACCTGCATATAAAATCATTCCTTAATAAATTTTTTCGTTCTTACTCTTTACTATCTAATGAATCATCAACTTCGATCCTATTCTTCAACAAGCTAACAATTACCCTCATAACTTTTTTAACACCATGGTGAAGTTCTATATCATCTTTCAATATTTTCTTATTAAGTACTATGTGATAATCATCTTTCAAGCAATAAATTCTTTCCAGTATGTATATGAGGAAGTACCAGTCAGAGGTTAAACAAAAAAAACACAAGTTAGTATATATGAATGATAGATAAAAAAATCACACAAAGGATTGAAAAGCTCTACCTGTAATCACGATCCCATAGAAATAGTCAAACTCATCATTGAATGCCACAGATGTTTTTCTTTTTCTTATATTTGTATAGTGAGAGTTTTTGAGTTACATTATGTTCTGCATGAATCCTGCTACTAAATCCTTTTGTTTTCCCTCAGTTATAGCTATTAACTCCTCATTGATGACATCTATGACTTTCTTGATTAGATAATTGACTCAGCTAGATGCTTCTTTGCCTACAACTTCGAACTGGAGGTCCATGGTAATTCCTTTCTTAATGATTCTTTTGGCAATATAGATGGATGTATATAATAATAGTGAAATATACTCACAACGCACAGCCTTATTCCTGCTTATTACCAATCTATCCTGCATTTTATTTTTGTTATATACTATTCCAGCTCCTCGTCTTCATCGTAAATTTCCATAGACTCTAGCTCAAAGGGTAAAATTTTTATTATTTTATTGCTATCAATCTCATACTTACGTAATACCTCACTTAACTCTTTCTTAATCTTATACGAAGATAACGATTTCAGCTTTTTCTTCTTATAGTCTTTAGTAAAGTTGGCAAGATTTTTCGCAGGCCCTCCTTTTATGCCATAATCTCTGAGTTCTTCTTTGGTTATATTGATAAAGGCACAACTATTAATCCTTTCTTTACGAATTATTTTTAAGTCATCATTGTTAAGACCTAAGTCTTTTTCCTTATGCAAGAAATCTATAAGCTTAGCCATATTATATTTTTAATTTCGTTCGCCAATGAAACTGTCTCATTTTCAGTAATAGTGATGAAAGTGAAAACTGGTGTATAAGGTATACTAGTTTCAGATATAGTGTTTTTATAGTGAAAATAGGCTCAGACAAAAAATAGTATTATGCTTTGAAGTGAGATAAAATTTTATTTTTGTTCAGAAAAGAGAATACTGGACACTAATATAAGTTTTTATGTAATATAAGTATTACATCATTACACGTGATCCATTTCAC